CTTTTGTGTAGTTGAGTCTAACTCTTGGTAGGTACCAGGTCTTAGGGATCCCACAGTGCACATGGTTTTTATTGGGTGATTTGAGACTGGCGACAGGGAGTTAGACAAGATGACTAACAAAAGGGGAATTATGGAATGGTTGAAATGGGTGTTAGTTCATATAAATGGGCATTCGGGACCAAGTGGTATAAGCATGGTATGGGACGTGCAGGTCTGCTTGTCCAGTTATATGAATTAACGGGAGTAGATGAAGAGCATTCATGCATTAATATTATTAATGTGATGTTTGGCTATGTGATTGCATGTCACTTAATTTAGTTATATCAATATCTACTGTGGTAAGGTCTCATGTCCATACTGAGCGGTGGTTGCTCACCCCTCACCCTGTTTAATTTTTCAGATGAATTAGTGAACAAGACAAGGACTAAACCAGTTGAGGCTGAATTAGATGAGAGTGATATAGCTTTATTTATTAATTGTAAAGTTGTAAAAGTTTGGAGCTATTTTTATTTTATAAGTTTATTTTAAACCCAAGTTTTGTATTTCTCTTTATTTTATTTTATTTTACTTTCTCACGCATCGGGCGTGGGATTTCCACCAACCCCCGAGTCTGGGACGTGACAGTGCAGCGGACCCTTATGATAATAACCCTATATTTATTGATTAATTTTGTTAGGCATCAGACTGGTGACATTTAAAAAGTTTTAAAGTGGAAACGTAACATAGAAAGAGAAATATGTTATTTGATTCAAGGAGATTCATTCAACATGTGGTAGTTTAAGTTTTTTCATTTATCATAAACTGAGATTCATTCAAGCCAGCAAAAGGCAAAACAGAGAACAAGAACAAATACAAGACTAAAAACGACAACAACATCAACTAAAAACAAACTCCACTCAACACCAAACCAAGCCATCGTACAGCAGACGTCGCACCAATGGAGAACGTCGGGCTTTAAGTTCCTTGATCAAATAATGATCCAGCCTTCCCAAGTACTCATGAATTTGGTTCAATGAGTGGGTGAATTTCTGACCCTCCATTTGGATGAAAAAATTGAAAATTACATAAAGTTATAAAATGACATAATTTCAACTTCTATCATTTCAATTTCTGGCAATTGAAGATTTCGATGTTTGGATTTATGTATGTCGAATTTTGTAAATGAAACTATGAAAATTGTGAAAAAAACACGTATTTTGATGGAAATTAAACTCAGGAATTTGATGCTCCAATTTCCACGATTTTTTCTGCGCGTTATTTAATAAATTCCGGGATTAACTTGCCAAACAAGGGAATTGTCAATTTCTCCTCTTAAATTCCCGACTTTTAGCTAAATTCCGAGTTGTTTTCCATCATCCAAATGGAGAGTGAGGGTTTATATTTGATGAAGGAAAAAGGAGTTGACAGGAAGAGATTTGATGAAGACGACCAATTCATGCAAAATAGGGTGTACTTAGTATTAGGGTGTTATGTGATATAGTGTATTAGGGTGTATTAAGGTGTATCAAGGGTATTTTTGATGGTCAAATAGGATTTACTTAGTTAATTTTACACTTTCATTTAATTATTAAATCATAATGTGTACTCAATTAATTTTACCATTCGTTTAACAACACCTTTGTTAAAATGTGGGACGTATGTGTAGTTAATGAAACCAGTGGGGTTGTCATTGCAATGAAGTCAAACCTGACCGGCTCTAGCTTAAAATTGACCCAAAATAAAATGACAAAAAAAGGAGCGAGTGTGTGTTTTCATTTGGTACGAGGTTTACAACATCAGTTGGGTTTCCCTTGCGTTTCAGAGTGAGTGGGCTTTTTCGTCTTCGAATGTTTATTTGTTTCATAGGAAGCAGCAAGACATCCGTGGGTTCCTGATGTAACTCCCAAATGAGCAAAAAGGCCTTTCCTTTCTTCTTCTTTGTCATTTTCCTTTGTATCTTTTATTTCTTTGGATTCCGATCAGATCCTCCTAAATAATTCCCAATTATTCCTATTCGCACAGGTACGCGTCGTTAATACTCTTCTCTCTGTTGATTTTGCTTATGTCAATAAATCAAAGACTCCCTTTTGAAACAGTGACAGTGGATCATATATTTTGCATGGTCATCTAATTAATCAGTCAATTGATTGTTTCTTGTTTCTCTTGGTTTGCCAAATTGGTTGTTGTTAATTTAATGCAAATCCCAGTGCATGCTTTTGGTTAAATCCTTTTTGTTGTTAATATTAGAATGTGAATGAAAAAATGGACATTATTTCCCTTGAGATTTCTCGCAACCCAAATGGAGTATTAGACTCATAAAATTATTTATGCAAAGCAATAAGCACTATGGAAATGATCCTTTGTTTTTTCATATTTTTTTTCTCTTTCCCAATGGTAAATTGCAACTGAAAACAATTCACTTTAAGCAAAATTGTAGTCTAATGGTTTGCAGCTTTTGCCTTTTTCTTTGCAGTTGATAGGTCTGTTGGGTGGGCAGTGAAAGCTTGGTGAATGGGGTTTCAGACTATGGCTTCTCAAGCTAACGGCCAGCAGTCTCATTTTCAGCCTTCTCCATTGTTGAGGCAGCCCTCATGGTATAGCCTCACTCTTGATGAAGTTAAAAATCAATTAGGAGACACGGGAAAGCCACTGGGCAGCATGAATCTTGACGAGCTTCTACAGAACATATGGACTGCTGAAGCAAATCAATCCATCGAGATGGATATTGAGAACACCTCCTCAGGATCTTCACTCCAACGTCAGGCCAGCTTAACATTGGCTAGAGCTTTAAGTGGGAAGACGGTTGATGAGGTATGGAGAGACATCCAGCAAGGGCAGAAGAAAAGGTACGGGGAGGACATATGTCAGGATACTGAGATAACACTTGGTGAAACAACTCTAGAAGACTTCTTGGTACAAGCAGGTCTTTTTGCAGAAGGTTCTTTGAGTCCTGCTATTGCATTGGATACTATTGAAGTGGCCATCCCTCAGAGTTATCCACATAACCTGGGGTTATCGTCATCCCCATCATTTGGTACACATTCGGATACAACGACGCCAGGGCGGAAAAGGGATGCATCAGATGCATATGAGAAGACTATTGAGAGAAGATTAAGGAGAAAAATCAAGAACAGAGAATCTGCTGCACGTTCACGTGCTAGAAAGCAGGTACAATTTAGTGTGTGCTTTTGTTTACTTTTTGGTATGAATTATGTTGGTTTTTGCTTTATCTTTGCCACGTGATCCATGTGGTTCCATTCAGGCATATCAAAATGAGTTGGTGAGCAAAGTTTCGCGTCTAGAAGAGGAGAACATAAAGCTCAAGAAAGAGAAGGTGAGGAATCTTTCATTCATGTCTGTTGTTAGTTCTTTCTGTTTTCATTTGTAACCTTGAAATACTATATTAATTGGAAATTTCTCCCAAACTGTTCCAATAATTTTGTATTTTATTTTGACAAAAGAACTAATACAATGAACATATAAGGAGTGTCAAGTTTTAAAGGCATAGGAATTGCATCCTATGCACAATTGAATCCGATTGTTGACAATGAAACTCCTTGACTATCAAGCCTGGAAAAGATGATAGGTTTTCCACAACCCAAAATCAGGAACATGGTTTCAGCCATCCTTTGATAACTCATAAAAAAGAAAAACCTTTCTTTTTATAGTAGTAACAAAAGAACCACAATCTTCAGAACGATATACTTACTTGATTGCAGCTTCAAATTTATTTTCATTCAAATGTGAATAAAATATTTTGGCATTGTATGCACACCCACTACTAGTGTTTATCATGATAAATTTGCATTTTAAGGCCCAAGAAGTTGTGTATTGCCTCCCAAGGCTGTATTCTGTGCTAGGTCTTGGGGTATAAATAACAAGTTATTGTAAGAACTCTTATGGATATACATGATTTGTAACACTGGTTGGAAGGCTATGTGAATACAATGTCAAGCTTTGTCCTTAACCTCACTAGGTTTATAAGGTGACCCACACACGTGTTAATCCTTAGGGGATTATTTTTTGAAAACACAACCCCAAGAGTTGTGTTGGGTGTTAAACAAAAAAAAAGCATACTTTCTTAGAGATGCATCATACTTCATTGCCGAAAACCCACTTTGTAGCTGGCCCCATTTTATTATGTTTTCAGTTCATGGAGTCTAGATTGAAAGTTTGTTCGATTACAACTTCATGTTTCTTTTATTAAGGGGAGAGAGGTGTAAGGAGAATAAAATGGAACAAAGGAATTTCCCCACCAAGGTTTCACTTGGAATTAGCGTACCATCTCTCTCCTTTGCTGTTGTCATTTCTTGTTATTGCGGAATGGTGACAACTGATGATCTTTTTATTGCTTTGTATGTTATTTTGTTTTATTATTTCCTTGTCTTCAATTAATAAGAGATACTTGTACTTACAATCTTGGTAGAATCATCATAGGCCTCTTAATGTAACCTACAAAGTATTGGTGAAAGCTATTTTAACTACACTATGGAGTTGTCCTATTTAATCTCAATGGCTTAGTCCAATTGTAAAATGGTGGCTAAGGATATCAACCTAGAATTAGAAAGTTTCATGATTGAATCTGTCGTTGATATAGGCTGATTATTAGTCATTAGTTTAATGGCTGATTATTATGGACTTCTACATAAGTCTGTTAGCTTAAAGTAAGTTCTGATTGTTTAATTAAGGCCTGTTTGTCAGTGCACTTTTGGTAGGATTTGGCGGAAATAGAGAAACTTGAAAGTGCTTTCTGGGTGGATTTCCAGGATGCACTTTGACTTATAGTACAATGTTGTAATAAATTTTGTGATGTTGACATATGTTTTTTATTTTTGGATATGGAATATTTTGTTTGAATTTTATCTAGTTTTCAAGTACTTTACGAAGGATAAAGATGCTTGAATTTTGTTTTATTTAGTCATATTATAGGATTTTTAATTGTGGTTATATTGATTCTATGACCCTTCTCTTAGATTGTACTCTGGATTGTTGATATGGTTCAGAGGAGAAGACCTTCTTTTCCCTTCTTCATCAATGGTGTGTGAAGTGCAAAATGGGGCAGAGAGTGTGAACTAGTTCTTCCTGCACTGTCTAATTGTCTTACCCCTTTGGTCCCTTTGGTTAAAGCGATTTGGGGAGGCCAATTTGTGTTGGGTTATCACAATTGAGTGTGGCTTTCTTTTGTCAGAGGCATAAGTTTTTTGGTGGGAGGAAGAAGGGTATGGTTCTAAAAGATGTGTGGTGATGGCTATTGTTTGGGTACTTTGGGGGGAGATGAGAGTAAGATATTTGACATGTGAGGGGTGATGGGGTGGATTATCTGTAGGAAAGTGTTTGCTTCCTGCATCTCTTAGGTCTTTGATCTCTTCAGAGTTTTGGGGTAGTTCTTTGTTTGCAAATGTTTCAAATTGTAATGCGAGTGCTTTTTAGTGTCTTTCTTTTCTTTGTCTGGTTCACTGTTGTTTTTAGGCTGTTTGGTGCTGTTTTTTGAGCTCTCCTGATCTCTGATCAAGGGACTTGTCCATTGTTTTGTACTGTTTCTTTCTCTTTAATGATAGTTTGTTTCCTATATAACAAAAGATTGTATTATGTTGGTTAATCTCTATCACTTCACGCATACTTGGCATTATTAGTTATGGTTTTTCCTCTTTGTTTTTCTTTTTGTTTCAATTTTGTGTGATTTTTTAAATCTTGCTACAGAGATTAACGTCTCAGGTACTAAGACAAGTCACACCTGTTTTAATGTACGAACTACTTTTGGGTTGCCAGAAGAGATCCTGTTAATGAGACCCCTCTCTTTTTTTTTTCTTCTTTTTTAAAAAGAAAATTACAAAGAAATGTGAAAATCGTGGATACCATTGTGGGACTCCTTGAATTTTGTTTTGGAGGTGACATTTTGAGAGATGGAGAAAAGTAGTTCCGTGGTTGACAAATTTTGGAGTTGAAGTTAGTGACCCACTTTGACCTTTTTTTGTATACCTTAGTGGTTGACACTTTAAGTCGTTCAGTGGATATTGCAAAGGAGCTTCAGCCAGTAGAGAGACTATTAATTGGTAGGAAAGTTTACAAGTTTCTCATTTGCAAATTCTCAGTGATACAGGGTAATTTTAAATCTGACAGTTGAGCCTTTTTTTTGCATTATTTGGTTTTACAGTAAATAGGTCTAAAAGTTGACTTAGCTAGAACCAAAATTGGAGGCTGCAGGTTGTGTGGTTGACCTATAAATAGTTGTTCAGCAGCAGTGCATGCACTCTTAATTTTTGGGATCCAATTGTGGAGAAAGTAGAGAAGAGGTTGGAAGAGTGGAAAACAGCATATTTATCTAGAGGATGTGCTTATATTAATTCAATCTCTTTTGAAAGATTTTCTTATCTCTTTACAATTATAAGCAAGTGGCCAAAAGCTTTGAGAAACTAATGAAATTTTTTTGTGGAAAGGTTTTGGAGAAAGGAATAGAATTCATTTGGTAAAAGTGGGAAATTTGGTTTTGTTGCCGTGAGAAGGGTGGTTTTGGGATGGGTATTTTGGACATATGATGTGATTGCTTGGGAAGTGGTTGGGTTATGCCTTACATGAAAATGGATAGGAATTCTAATATAGTGGTTAGAGGCTCCATTTCTTCTTTTGTTTCCTTCTTTCCTTATTTTCTTGTAGTGGTGGGGAATGGGGAAGTAATTTTGCTTTTCTGATGCAGGATAAGAATGGATAGGAAGAAAAAAGAGATCCGGACTCATCCCGGTCTTTGGCATCACACCAAAGGTTTCCAGTAGAGAAATTAGAAAATTCCGGCATCGCACTGGCCTTCGGCATCACACCGAAGGTGCCTTGGAATCACTCTCCAAGTCAACCTGTGCCTCACACACAAGCAGTAATTCACATAACTTTTTTCTTTCACCAACTCAGCTTTTAAAAGCTTACAAAGTACCCCTTGTTTTAGGCTAATTGGTAAATGAATCTGGAAAAGATCCACATTAATACACTTCAGAATGCTAGAGACTTATGAGGCCTAATACATTAATCATGTGACATAGAGGTAGGCTTTATTTTAGTTGGGTTTTGATTAGGGTTCATTTGGTCTAAATTTTCTTACTTCTCCTCTTCCTTGCTATTTTGGATCCTTTTTTTTAGAAAATCATTAGTTTTTGCTGTCTTAAATGATAGTGTCAGCAAAATATTGAGGATATCGGGAGTATTTTGCCGATATCAGGAAATTCCGGGGATACCGGGGAAGAAATTATCTTCAGCACCCCCTCTTATTGGTGTTGACCCCCAAAAACACTTGCATATCTGGATACCAGCCGATATTTTAATCCTTGTATATAGACGCACATATATAATAAACAACACATTTCAAGATAGAAATGAAGACATCACGCAGGCAAACTAGGCGATAAAGGGCCTCAGTACTTCACTGGGACATTATCTCAAATATGGTGTAGGAAAATTGGGTTCCCAATCAGAAATTACAGAATTACTTGGTAAGGTGGGTTTTGAAAAAAATTTGGTGGTTTTAAC